TACAACTATCTACTGGGGCTTTGGGGGAAAAAAATAAATAAATAAAAATTATAAAAAAAATAAAATAAAAAAAAACCCAAGGTCATGGAGATTTAAAAAAAAAAAAACAAAGATGCTAAGATGAAAGAAACCAAATGCTTTTCCCCAGGTGAAGTCAATAATTGCCCTTACTGAGAGCCTCCTTTGCAGAGTAACTGAGGACCAGGTGCTGTTTTGTTTCTGTTCCAAATTCAAGTCCTAAAGGATAGTCTGAGCAAAGCATTGTTAAACTGCACAGCTTCCATACCATAAAATTAGGGATTATATGTATGAGTCCTTAAAAAAGAAATGGGCCCAGAAATTTATGTCCCCAGACATCCCTGAATTCCACACCAAGTCAGGACAGGATAACCAGAAAAAATGATATCCAGTTGGTGGTCTGGTATCTGCTCTCAATGATATCAAAGGGATAGTCACCATTTGAATCAGACCGAGAGATCCAAAGCAGCAACCACCTTCTTAAAAGAAAGGACATCGAGAACTAAACTAAGTCCCAAGGGTGAGGTGATCAACCACAAGAAAACGACAACCTGACTCAGGTTTCAAAAAGGATCCTGTACTACTTTTGGGAAAGGAAAAGTGAAGAGACAACTCAGCCCCAATAGCAGTACCTAGAAAGGCTGAGATGATGAAGTTGGCTTGTAGAGCCCAGACTAGACCCAGAAGGACAGCCATAATAATTAGGTTCACAGAGGGACATTGCAGATTAAGCCAGTTGTGAAAGGGGTGTTATCACAGCATAGCTCACCACATTATGACAGACTGTACCAGTTTTCTCTCTAGGTTAAAAATACTATGACTGCAGACTTCTCTCTGTTATGACCCTGCAGGGCTTAGGCATGATGAATTCCTTGGCTTTGTCCACTTAAGATAGATCTTTAATGGTACTGTGAGGTCACCAAATGGCAAACACATGGCCTGTTGCTACTTCTGCTAGTTCAGCTTCAGGTGGAGTGGTCTGAGTATAAGCTCCTTGACAGAAGGTGGAGACCCACCTCATGAGAGCGGAATTTGGTGTCATCCAGTTTACGCAGGGCATATTCCATATCTTCTTTTCTGAGATACTCAACCATCCCCATGCCATCCTTCTGCACATCTGCATAACAGACATCCCCAGCTTCTCGCATATGATCCTTCAGGTCCTGCCAGCTGCCTGATGGAGGAAGTCCTGGGCACGGAGAACATAAGAGAAAAAAACCACATCCTTCAGCCATGTTAAATGCCCTGTTAAGAGCTAGCAATACCTAGAGTCCCTTCTCCATCAATCACTACTTTTAAATTCTGAGGGTCCCCAAATCATAAATCTTGATAAGGGACACGAGACCAAAGAAGAAAACTAAAGTATATGTGGTAAACCACCTTAAGAAGCTGGTCCTAGGCTAATCTTCCAGAGACCAAGCCTTTCCAACAGAGTAGGAAGTCCATTCCATTACAGGTTTAGTATCTCTAAGAATTCACAGCCTTCCTTTCTTTGTCCTTCATGATTAATACCAAACTCGCAAGACTTTGAGTTCTAATTTCTTCCATTATGCAATTTATCAGTGCCAATTATTTCTTGCCTGACTGGGTTACCAGGACAAAGAAATTTTGAAACCATCCAATGAAATAACCAAAGTGTAGCTGAAAGTAACAACACAACGAAAATCTAAGGTTTGTTTTCTTATAGGTGTGAATGACTTACAAACTAGACAAAGTACCTCTTAAAAGATCACCAACATTCTTCAATACAGTGGGGGAAAAGGTAAGACTCAGACGCTAAAACTAGTTGGGAGTCATACAACCCTACCTGATGTCATGAAAGGGAAATGTGCTCCTGCTCTCAAAGGCTGTGTTTACCGCTCACAGCTCAGGACTGCAGCCATTTCCTAATAGTTTTCTAAGCAGGATTTCAGAGCAGCATGGAGAGAAAAAAAAATATGTATGACATCCTGAAGGAGGGAATAGAGTTCTGGGGTTAAAAAATTACAAAGGGACACAAGATAGGCAGATACTGACAGTATCACTCTTAAGCACCATGGAAGTCTGCTGATTGTGTGACATTCACATCTAAGAAGGTGCCACGCTCCTCAATAGATTTCACTCCACCAGGGCCCTAAAATGCCCCTGCAATGTGCAGAAGGCCCCAGGTCTTTACCAGTGTGTTAATATTTCAAAAAGATGCATAAACCTCTGAGCTTAGCATTTCATCACTTGTCAATACTAGACATTTTGTTCTATACTTTGCAATACAATCCCTAAGACTTCAAGTTGTTGTTTTGTTTCTTCTTTACATATTTCCAAAACCACCACAAAATCTGGCCCTTTTCAGGATTCAAGCTGGGTCAATTGTTCAAATCTGGGTCCTGGAATGTCTTTCTAGCTAGTCTGATACCAGGGTACATTCCAAAAGAAAACACCTTTAGAATTCCAGCTCAAGGGGTTTTGCCATCATCTTCCCTTTCAACACTAGAAAACTCCTTTATAAGAAGCAAGTTTATACTCTACCAAGGCTGCACTACTGATGCAATTTCATTTGCAAGATACCTGCCTCAATGGCAAGACAGGGCAGGGCTTCAGACTGTCACTGTGCGTAGGCTATTGAAAAGAAAGCCCCACATATCCCGTGCACTGAAGAATAACAGCTAACATTTCTTGGAGGCCAGACTCTGTGCTAAG